GAACTGACTACATATCTTTCAATGTAGCATTTCATACCTAGTTATAGTGAATACATATACCTGTGTACAGTGAATTGCATTAACTAGCAGATGATATTTTAATATCATAATTATGATAATAAATATACAAATAATGATAATTTTAAACAAAAATACTGCAAACAGTAATCTGAGTATTTATGTATTCGATATATATCAAATGTTATCAATTTATGTGAAATAATATAACAATATATTTTTATTGAACTCATATAAAGCTATAATATTCTGTAAAATTTGTTGTTCAGTTTGACTATGCAATGAGGCAAAATAGAGCTGGTATTGCATCCCCTATTTTTTTAAAGGTAACTGACTCTTAATAAGGAGGTATTTACTTTGTTCTTTTTCCTACTTTTCCTTTTGAAATAAGTCAGTTGTGTGCATATTTCAGTTATTTGTTCATATTTGGATCCTAGTCTGATTTTTATGGAATTGCTGACATGTATAATTTTTAAGCAGTGAAGGTTTGTATTTTGTTTTTTTCTTTTTTAACTGGATACTTAATGAGGAGATATTAAAGGAGCTGTGAAACAAGCTGAGCTGCATCTAAGTTAAAGTTGGGGTTTTTCTTGTAAGTTAGAGGAAAATTACATTGTTGAAATTTTAGAACACTTATTTTTGAGCAGGTTAGTTTTGATATTTCTAAAATAAGTGTGTGTAGTCCTGATTTCACCCTGGGGTGCTGAAAACTACACATACACTACAGCTGAAAATCAGGGTAACAAGGCATTGCCTACTCAATATATGTGTCATCTTCCAGTCATGCCTGTGAAGTTCCTAGCTCATCTGTGAATCTTAAGAGTTTCCTAAGGCAGACAGTAAACTGGAGCTGGTGGTGTAATGGAGCAATTGGCAGTTTTAGTCTAATGGTTTCTGAGTGTGTCCTTCACTTTGAGCATGTTTGAAAATATAACACTAATGTGACTTGCATTTAAGGCATATGAATTACTAGAGTGAAAATGTAATAAGCTCGAAGGGTTTGAAACCTCTGCAAATGAGAAGGATAAATTACATGTTAAAAGAAGTAGTCTTTTGCTGTTTCTATACACCACTCTAGCAAAATTTCATTGCTGGATGTTGATGCATTTGACAGACAATTTCTTACTCCTCTTCTCAATTCCAACAATTGCAAGCATCCTAGGCACATATTCAGATTTGAGAACTGAAACTTCTTCCTCCCTCCTTCTACCCATAAATAGGGAAAGTGTAGAATTTAACAAAATGCTGCTTCTTTACCTTCTGCTGAAAATTTCCAGCATTCCTTGTTGCTTTTTAATAATAGTTGAACAGAATTATTTTGTACACTCATTCTGCAGCTTATTAGGTTTGTAGGGCATTCCACACAAAGCATATTTCATACCTCATGGACTGGACTCCATGTTCCAGTCATAGAAGATGATTTTGTGCTCCCTCTGCTTGTCATTGTAGCTCTATTTGATTTGTCCTATTCTCTGTTACTCAGAGAGGTGCCCTCCAGCAATGGTTTTGCACCTGCAGTTCATTTATATGATAATTTATCAGATAATTTGATACCATTAGCTAAATTCTTAAATCTACACAATAAGAGAAAGAAAAAAACCAGGAGAAAGAGCTCTTTCTAATTCATGTTTTAGAGAAGAGCTGCTTTTATTTAGTGGAGAAGTGTTACTGCGCCAAATGGTCTTTTGACTTTACCCTTTCTGACTTACCTGAAAGTTTTGTCAGAGATAGATGATTTTATGACACAACATTTTAGATGTCAAAAGCCACATATGTGCTCTATTAATTTAGGGTCTCCCCCTTCCAGTTTTCCCTATTAAAATCAATATGATTACTCATGTTAGAAAGCATTAACTTCACCTGGAATACTGTAATCTCAAGAAGTTTAGTTCAGATTTTGCTTCCCATTGATCTTTTCTAACCAATGTCTTCCCGCATGACATCCTCGTCACTAAATTGGAGAGACATCGATTTAATAGGTGGACCACTCGGTGGATAAAGAACTGGCTGGATGGCCACACACAAAGAGTTGTGGTCAATGGCTCAATGTCCAGCTGGAGACCAGTAACGAGTGGTGTCCCTCAGGGATCAGTGTTGGGACCAGTCTTGTTCAACATCTTTCTCGCTGACATGGACAGTGGGATTGAGTGCGCCCTCAGCAAGTTTGCGGATGACACCAAGCTGTGTGGTTCAGTTGATACGCTGTAGGGAAGGAATGCCATCCAGAGGGACCTTGACACGCTTGTGAGGTGGACTGATGCCAACCTCATGAAGTTTAACCATGCCAAGTGCAAGGTCCTACAGCTGGGTGGGAGCAATCCCATGCACAGCTTCAGATTGGGCAGAGAAGAGATTCAGAGCAGCCCTGCAGAGAAGGACTTGGGGGTGTTGGTTGATGAGAAAATGAACATGGGCCGGCTTCAGTGTGCGCTTGCAGCACAGAAAACCAACCGTATCCTGGGCTGCATCAAAAGGAGTGTGACCAGCAGGTCGAAGGAGGTGATCCTGTCCCTTTATTTACTCTGCTATCTTGAGATGGTTAGTGTGAGATGTCCCTGCCCATGGCTGGAACTAGATGATCTTAAGGTCCTTTCCAACCTTAATAACCATATTCTAACCATATTCTATTCTGTTTTGTGGTTATTTTAGATCTTCTGCTTTGGAGGAAAACCACTAGAAGAGTAAAATTTCTCTGTGGAGAATTAGCCTGACTCTTCCTTCAGTCATTTAATGAAGCAATGGGAATAAAGGTTATCGTGAATCATAAAAAATGATTATCACTATAGTTGTTAACAGAGAAAAACCTTTAAAGCTCTGTCTTTTAAATATGTGGAAGGTGATAGGAATTCTTTTCCATTTCTTTTTAATATGCTGTCCTGGGTTTGGCAGTAGCAGTCATTTTGCTCCTTCTTAGTAGCTGGTGCAGTGCTGTGCTTTTGACTTTCAGCCTGGGAACAACGCTGATAACACCGATGTTTTTAGTTGCTGCTCAGTAATGTTTACTCTGACCAAGGGCTTTCTGCATCTCATGCTCTGCCAGGGAGGAGGGGAAGCTGGGAGGAAGCAGAGACAGGACACCTGACCCAAACTAGCCAAAGAGGTATTCCATACCACAGCACGTCATGGCCAGTATATAAACTGGGGGCAGTTACCCGGAAGGGCTAGATCGCTGCTTGGGTCAGGCTGGGTATTGATCGGTGGGTGATGAGCGGTTGTATTCTCTTCCCTTGTTATTTCCCTTATCATCATCATTATTGGTGGTAGCAGCAGTGTATTTGTGTCTTATCTCAACCTGTGGGAGTTACATTCTTTTAATTCTCCTCCTCATCCCTCTGGGAATGGTGGGGAGGAAGAGGAGGGAGTGAGCAAGCAGCTACGTGGTTCTGAATTACTGACTGGATTTAAACCACGACACAAACATGACAGCCTTGTGTTGGAAATGAGGTCATCTTCTTAAAAAAAACGGATGAAGTCTGAAATAAAATCACTGTTCATGTGAATAAAGCAGAAATGGCTTGAAATGTGTTAAACAAACACATGAAATATGGATTTTTCTGTTTATTTTTTAACTTAAATTGCTTTTTGTAATTTACAGCTGAATTAGGAAAAAACCCAAACCTATCCATTTATATTGTTGGTAATCGTTAAGAGTGGCAAACAATCTTTGAGGTGTTATTTTGTATTGTGGTCCAGAGTATAATAACGTCAGCTTTTTTTGTTTTTAAAAAACTGATTTCTGATTGTGTTAGATTGTGTGTAATTTTAGGCCAGTAATCTGTAGGAAGAGTGTTTTCATAAATTTCACAGTGTCAGTAGGCCTCTAACATACTCTTTTTCGTTATGACTCCTCTCCTGCCTCATATGACAAGAGTGAAACTGGCTCCAAAGAGTAAATGGGGAATATATCATATGAGGCCTATGTTGCATACAGGAGAGCAATTATAAGCACACTTTTTTTTTTGGCACTTTATATGCTTCAGATTTCCTCATTAACAGTCTTCTGATCAGATTGCCATCGTGGCACAGCAGATGCTGGAGTAGGAGACAGGCTGTAACACTGCAGTGTAAATACATGAAGTAAAACCACACTGTAGATCTTAGAATCATAGAATATCTGAAGTTGGAAGGGATCCATAAGGATCACTAAGTCCAGCTCCCTGCTCCTTGCTGGACCACATGCATACCATATGCATATAGAAATCCTATAATATTGAAATAGTGTGTGTTCAGTAGGGTTAGGGATAAGCACAAACCAAAACCCTACTGTTGGTCACCATCTTTTAAAATCTGTCTAAGTATTAAAATTCTGGTTACATTTATACTGCGGGTGATGGTATTTACTTAATGGAAAATCAATGCATAGGAAACAACTTCTTATTTGAGGTAGGGAAATATGAATTCTCTTGTAAACTCATGTGCTACAGTGTTAGTGATCAGAATACTTTTAAAGGAAAAAAAAAATTTCTTACAGAAGTGCAAATACATTTCTTTTCTTTAAAATTTTGTTGGTCTATATTAAAGCTGTAGTGAAATCACAGTACCAGTCTTCTATTGTCACCTCAGACACTTTATCCCAGTCTTTCCAAATCTTTTCCTCATATTTCTCTCTCATATTTTATGTGCAATTCATAATAATCTACAGAAGAACAATATTTATATTCTAGATACATATATGAAAACTGTTTTCAAAGCTACTTTTACGTGGCTTTTACACTGTTCAGGCAAGAACAGGACTGAGTATTTTGTTTGTGTTTTAAAGTCAGGACTTGAAGTTTATTGTATGTGTCTACATTGTGGTATTTAAATTTGATATGTTCTCCCGGGGTATTTGTCTTCCTAAAAAAAACTTTAAAAAAATCCATGGATTTGGTATTTTTGAAAGCTTCGTAAGGGTATTGATGTCTAATAACTCTAAGCTTACACATTCTATAATAGCTTGATATATCAAGGGGTGGTGAAATACTATTTTCAAGATAAAATACTTAGAGTGAAAAGCACAAAAAGAAGATTTATTTCATTGTACCGAATATAATTGTAATTGTGCCATCAGCTGACAGAATTCTGTGCTGGTTAGGAGGAGATAAAGATATGACATGTGCACAAAAATGAAGGCTGGAAGATGAATAGGCCTTCTAGGGAGCTGATCTTTACAGATCAGATAAAGATTCTTCAGGTCTCTTTCTTGCAGTCTGTGCTACATCAAAGGCCATTGTTCCAGATGACTTGGAACCTGGGGACAAGACCTTCAAAATGGAAAGTTTAGAGGTTGACAGCAGCTGGACTTTGGGGTTTTTAGTTTTTATTTATTTCTTTATTTATTTATTTTTTGAGTGTCTGATCTCTTTTGTAATCCCTTTAAAAATTAAAGAAACATTCATAGGCTGATGGACTAAATAACACTTGCATTTTATCTATCCTCCCCCTTAACTGTTTTGCTTTAAATCTAACTATTCTCATTGAAAGGTTTAAGGAAATCTAGTAGAAGGTAACTCTTGACATCTTTTAAAGTTTGGTTAAAAATACTTACTTGTGGGCACCCTGCACACTATTGAGAAAGCAGCAAGGGAGAGAGCAGTTCTTACCCATTTAAAAAAGTTGTGTTGTTTTGTTTCTTAAAAAGAGGTAGAAATAATTGTTGAATCTAGGAACATTTATTAAGCAGATGTTTGTTTAATCATGGTGTATTCAATCACTTTAAATCTGACATGCTACTGTGTCAACCACAGTGGCTGAATCTGTGGTTTGAATCACATCAGCTCCTGTGATCTCTTACTTAGAAGAGCCATCTCACAGCTGTCAGGCATCCTCCAAAAGCATAAGAATAGATAGACCTTGTTGGCTTTGCAGTCCTCTCTTCCTGGTCATGGTTTCTCAAATTAGAGTAATCTGAATTCATTGCCTTCATCTGAGAATCCTTGCTCTCCAGCAGACTGCAGGGCTTTTAAAAAATACCTTAGAATCACCGAATCATAGAATGGTTAGGGTTGGAAAGGACCTAAAGATCATCTAGTTCCAAGTGACTCACCACCCTCACAGTAAAAAACTTCCTCCTTATATCCAATCTAAACTTTCTCTGTTTAAGTCTAAACCCTTTACCCCTTGTTCCATCACTACAGTCACTAGTGAAGAGCCCCTCCTCAGCATTCTTATAGGCCCCCATCAGATACTGGAAGGCTGCTATGAGGTCTCCACGCAGCAGCCTTCTGTATCTGAAGGGGGCCTATGAGGATGAAGTAAGTACCTTGAAGTAAGTGAAGTACTTACCTTGAAGTATGCCAGAATGTTTATATTACAGGATAGCTTTCTTCCTTCTCCACTTAAGGTGGTGTTAAATAGAGCTTCATACCAGGACTGAAAACATCTCATAGCTTTCATCTTCGCAGCACAAATACAGAGACATGGAGTAAAAGGTTATTAAAACCTAATATGGAGAAATACTGGTTTGCATGTTTGTTTTAGAAACATTTCTGCTCATATTCTTACATACACAAATATGAATCTCAGCATTTTAGTATTAGCTAGAGAAGCCTGTGGGGAACTGCGGTGGGTCACAGTGTTAGAGAGATGTTACCTGATTAAACCCTCATTGTGATGAGAGGGAGAATGGGATGTGTCAGGTGTCAGCTTGCTGTTGTGATGCTCCTCTGCTGGTGTTCTCCAGAGACTCTTCCATCAAAACAGGGAAGGCAAGACCTGACATTTGCATCTCTCAGATACAAGCAGGCATGATTTCTTTGAGAGAGATGAAAAACTAGTCTCTCCTTGTGTAACCAAAAAGGGCACAGCCATCTTGAGTTTTCTTCACAATCTAGCTGTTTTTGACCCCCGTCTGAGGTAGAGGTGGGAGGCTGAGGTGAGGCTCTGACAGCACCATCTCTGCCATTCCAGCTTATGTGAACTTTCTGGTCTACCCCTTTTAGTTGTTAGCAAGAGCTGACAGTTGACTCAACTGAAAACGTGACTTAGACCAATTCGTTTTGTGTAGGAGTTGGTCTGAATGTTAAGAGGATCATAAGGCTCACTGTGCACATATTGTTACACAGTAAAGCGTTTTCATCCCTAGCTGTCTGGTGGGTATTGTCAGGCTATTTCTGTTGGAAAGTTACCACGACTCCCCAGAAACACTTGCTATTTTTTTTGTTGGGTTATAGAATAACTTAGTAATAAAATTAAGTAAGTCACTCAAAAATTAGGAGATGACTTGAGTCTACATGAACTAAATTCATACCAGGTAGCTACTTCTGCAGAGGAAGCTGGCTACTCTTTGGATGGGTGCTTGCTTCCAGGGCTCTGGCATGGGGGATGCTGTGAGCAGTTCAGCTGGAGAACATGCAGGACATGGCAACTTCTATATGCAGAAATTAAGTAAACTTCTCACAAGTGTGGACAAGCAGCTTTTTGAAAAGACATGTCACCAACACAATGGATGTCTCTGTACAACAGATTGATTTGAAAGAGCATCATTGGATCATTCTTGTGCACTGTGCTTTGCTTACCATGGGGCTGAGGACAAACTGGATTTCAACTATTTAAATAGGAAAAATGCCTTCTAAGAGGATGCCTGTTACTCTCCAACAAAAAATAACATTTTTGAAATAAGATGGTGCATCTTTACTCAAAAATACATAATTTCAAAGTGAATACAAAAAAAGGGTAGATTTATAGAAATTATATATAGGAAAAAAAAACAGATTTTGCCAAGTGAAGAATCAATACATACTAAAATTTATGCCCTTTCTCTCTTTGGTCTCCAGCGCCTCGCTAAAGAAGCAGAAAAGTACCAAGCATCACATCAGTGGAGGGATGAGTTTGGGGTAAGTTTCAGTTTCTCCCCTTTTAACCTTGTATTTTTCCATTTTGAAATGTTAAATATAGTCTTACAAACATGCTGCTTATATATACTCACCACAGAAGGAGTCATTGACTGTGAATGGAGATTTGGTTTTATACAGTAAACAGAATCAAAGTCTGGGTGTCTAGAGACTAGAGTGAGCTTTTAAATTCAGAAGGTCATAGGGGAGTGTTGTGGTTTAAACAGCTTCACAGAGAGAGGGACGTAGATCTGAGGTGTATAGAAGACATCTGTTTTTGACATACAAGGACTGATTACAAAGACATATGAGTGATGGTTAATATCAGTTAAAAGCACTGAAACACAGAATCATAGAAAAGATTTTTACAAGTTTTTTTTTTACTTATATGGTAGAAAAAAATGGGAAAAAAAGCTTAATACAGAAGGATTTGGTTATCTACAGGACTATATGACTATACTGGGAATCAGAAACTATTTTTTAGAATCATCTTTATACGTTAATAACTGCATCTCTATGGTATTCTAGTACTGGTAAAAGAGGCCCTAATCCAGTAGAACACTGAACTATCTTCTTCAGTGATTTCAGACTTTACTGAAAAACAAGTGACACGATTCTTTATTACTGAGCATGCCAAATTAATATTGTGCTGCATAATTATAAGCCTGTTAATTTTAGACTACAGTTCCCTGCTGTGTCAGTCATTTATTATGTCTTCATTACCTGTTTCTTCAGAAAATATAAACAGGTGGTGCTTTTTACATGATACTGCTACAAACTTAGGTTGTGTTTGCAGATCCACTGGAATCATAGTGGTGCGCAGTTAAATGCACAATAGTTTTGTATAACATTGTTGTGGTTTAACCCTCGCTGGCAGCTGAGCCCCACACAGCTCACTGCCCCCCCGGTGGGATGGAAGAGTAAAAGAACTGGAAGAGTAAAAGCGAGAAGACTTAACGGGTTGAGATAAAAACAGTTTAAGAGATAAAGCAAAAGCTGAACACAGGCAAAGCGAAATAAAGAAGTCATTCACCACTTCCCACAGGCAGACAGGTGTCCAGCCATCTACATGAGAGCAGGGCTCCATCACATGTAATGGTTACTTGGGAAGACAAACACCACCCCTCTTTCTTTCTTCTTCCCCATCTTTATATGCTGAGCATAGCACCATATAGTGTGGAATATCCCTGGGGTCAGTTGGGGTTAGCCTCCCTGGCTGTGTGCCCTCCCAATTCCTTGTGCACCCCCAACCTCCTCACTGGCGGGGTGGTGTGAGGAGCAGGAAAAGCCTTGACTCTGTGCAAGCACTGCTCAGCATTAGCTAAAACATCCGTGTGTTATTAGCACTGCTTTCAGCACGGATACAAAACACAGCCCCATACCAGCTGCTATGAAAAAAATAAAATCTATCCCAGCAAAAGCCACCACAAATGTCCTTTCTGATCCAGTGTTTTTCAGACACTTGGACATTTGAAAACAAAGAGACAAAAAAACCCCAAACAAACCAAACACCTGAAGTGAGGCCAAATAATTCAGACAAGAGCAACTCACATTTAGGAGTGTAAAGAGTGTCTAGACATGGCCTGAATGCCTTTAAGTGTGCTCTCGGTACAGGCACAGGTTCTAATACATGGTAAAAGAGCACATATTCCATAGGGGTGCAATAACGAGAATGCTACAGCAACCTTTACTGCTGATCTGTCTCTGTTTTGAATAGAAAACAAAACCTGCAAGTTTGATGGACACAATGCAGAAGAGTGTGAATACACTCAGATGCTCTTTTTAATCATTTTGCTGTTTGCTGAGCACACTGGCATCACATCAACACTGTCTCAGCTTTTGGTTTCCTTTTTACCTTTTACTTGCAATCGAAGTTAGTCGTACCAGAGAGGCTTCTGGTCTTAACAGAATTCATTGCCATGGAGTGATCTCAAAGTAATTTTGAAATGTAATTTTATATTAATGTTGTGGCTCGGGCAAAGACTATGGTCAGAATTAAGAAAAAAAAAAAAGAAAAAAGCTGTTCTGTTGGATTTATAATAAAGTAACTGCAAACCGACCTTGTGCTTTACTGGCTTGGATGGGAACTGTGCACACTATGTAATAGCCTTGACATTAGGTTATGCAATTAAATTTCAAATAAATGTATTAAGCCTCTTATAATTTAATTTGTTCCATTTTTGCCAGAAGTAATCTTTCTTCTGTTCTGGCCTACTTTTTAGCAAGTGTCTGTTCAAATTAGTTTGCACACAGATCTTTGTGATAAACTTCATTTTCACTTGAAGATTTATACTCCTAATAGTTGTGATGGAGAATAGAAGATATACCATAAAACTTTCTGTGGATGAGGTTTTGTGAAGTACTTCTGATAGTACTTTACACATTATGATACACATTATGAATGTTGTACATCATGCTGTACAAGGGTTATTTCTTGTCCAGGATTTAGTTTTGTGTGATAAAAGCCCTTCTAGCAGCATTGCGTGAGTCACTGCAGACAGAAACTCTTTGGGACAATTTATTTCTGCTTCTAACGAGCTCACAATCAGCAATGTCCTTGACAGTCAGATTGCAGTCGAATACTAGGATAGAGTTTTAAGAAGAAAGTATCACCAGCATTACTTCTGGGGAAGTATATATAGGCTTCCTTCAGTGGAATAAATCCAAAAGAGGAAGGGCAAAGAGGGCTGGTCATAATACCAAGGTCTCTACAGAGCTACAAGGGATGTGTCAATCAAGACTGCTAGAATGCCTATTCTAACACCTTAGTCAAAATATGAGTATAATTTTCAGCAAAAGAAGCATGTAAACATTAAAAATTGTTAAAAGTTTTATTTGCAGGTTAATGCCCTATATAATAAATATTCAGTATCCTTGGATATGGTATTCTGAAATTATCTAGTACAGGAAAGAATCTAAGATCCAGATTTGGTCCCTCGGCGTCATTTTTCTTATTTCAGCTTATTTCATGTAAAGATTGTCAGAATTGTCTAAAGGAGAGAATTTACTTGCTTTTATAAAAACAAAGTTGGGACTAAACCACTGATAGAAACACAAATCCACATCTAATAAAATCCACTCATCATTGGCCTCCACTTTACATCAAGCCATTGACAATTTGAGTGCGACCATTAAGCCAGTTCCTTATCTACCGAATGGTCCACTCAGCAAATCCATGTATTTCCATTTTAGAGGCAAGGATGTTGTGCAGGATAGTACCAAATGCTGTGCGCAGGTCCAGGTAGCTGACATCAGTCACTCTTCCCTTGTCCACTAATGCTGTAACCCTGTGATAGAAGGTCAACAATTGTGCCAGGTGCCATTTGCCATTAGTGAAGCCATGCTGACTGTCTCAAAATCACCTCCCTGCTCTCAATATGGCTTGGCATAGTTTCCAGGAGGATCTGCTTCATGATCTTGCCAGGATGAATAGTTTAAAAAAAAAAAAATTAAACCAAAGTTTTGAATTTTTTTTTTTCCTGAAATTATATTCATGTTTACCAAAACTTAAAATAGCCATGAACATAGAAATATCAGATTGATATTAATTTGAATCTAGGAAGCTGTGACCCAGCAATTCACTGAACAGAGAATATTTGGTGTTAGATAAAGTATTCATATTCCTATCTTTGTTCCCCCCTGCATAGCTTTGTAAATACACAGATTGACACTAGGGGCTACATGTGTTCTTTTAATTAATATATGAACGTTTGTCAGGTGCATATTGAATGTCTTGATAGCAGAAATGAAAATGTAAAATGAGTTAATAACACGTATCATATGTTTACCATTAGCTTTTGGCTAAGGGGCAGAAATAATGATCATAATGGAGTTTGGTATTTTGCGTTAATAATTAAATAACAAAATAATTTTGACAATAAGTATTTTACTAAAATGTACAAAATTATTCAAAGGAAAGCGCTTAGCATCAGGTAAATAAAAAAATGCCATTCTCTGCTAACCACTCATCAGTATTGCCCAGTCCCCTAGCTGCATGTTCAATTAAAGAAAGGAAACGTACATAAATGTTTTCAGATTAATGCAGTTACAAATCAGAGGTACAAACCAGTATTTCTAAATGAAACAGCCATGTCAGATTGAATTTTCTTGTATGCTGCAGAGTGAATGGGGAGTGGTTTTGACACTTGTGATGGTCCAATTATTTTTCTGGCATAGAGATGCATGAAAAAAAACGTGAATTGGAAGAAGGGGGAGAGGATTCTTTATGAAATAATTGCTGTTATTCCCCAAATGGATCTTCCACAATTACATTTGATACCACATTTGATTGCCTTGCAATGGTTGGTTAACTAAAGCAATTTTGTTTCCAGTTGGGTTGCAATATTAATTGTATTTACACATGTATAAACATAAGGAATATCTCATTTGTTCTTTAACAAGGAATGCTTTATGGATGGCCTATTAGCATCCACTTATTTATATGAAGAGTGAAACCCAGACTATTAGGAATTGTTTATCAAATTAAAATGCCACATGAAAAAACTTTCAATATGCCTTATCTTTTAACCAGCAATGTCAGCTTGCTTATATTCTTACGTGCAAGTGATGGCTTTCTGAGTCCATGGTATTTCAGGGACAGCATTTGCTATGATGGATAATGTGTAAGCTGGTGTTTATGTACCAACTGCGCTTAAAAGTAAAGCCAAAAGGTCATGGAAATACTGCTTTGAAAATATGATTTTTTTTTTTCTTTCTCTAGCAGAAATAGTGGCTACACAAAACTGTAGTGAAAAGTAGCTCAGCAAAGAACTGGAAGCTAAAAAGGATAACTGAGATAAAAGAAATCTTGCATCACAAGAGTTGATCCAAGAGGTGACCTCCAAGATCAGAGCAGTAGTTGGCATCACTCTGTGCTTGCTGTGTCTTGCAGATTGAAGATTTTCAGGACTGTCTGTAATTTTTTGTGGATGTTAAAACACTAAAATATTGCATCTAAAAAGCCTCAACTGGAAAACAAACAAACAAAACACCAAGCTTTCAGC